ACTATGTTAAGCTTTCAAGGTCTTGCTCAGGTTACGATAGAACCACAGTCCAGTGCAGGGTTATGCATGTTTAACTTCATTGAAATCAATACATTTCAGCATGCCAAGGTCTTTGTGAGGTTGCATCATTGTGTTTTAAGAATGCCAAGACTCTTGTCTGACTGTAGCAACAAAGGACTTTATCACATGGGGGAAATCCTGTGCAGAAATGGGATTTAAAAGCTGGGGGAAACCTGCAAAAGCAGGTTGATTTTCACACAATGAAAATCCTGAAAGTAAAAAGGAGCAGCTTTTGACTACTTTCCATTTGGGTTAACAACAGTTTAACAACTACATGTGTGAAAATCAACCTGATTTTGCAGCTTTTAAATCCTGTTTCTGCACAGGATTTCCCCTGTGTGATAAAGTCCATAGGAAAACATTCAGTCAAGAAACACACATTGTTCTTTAGATCATTGTCCTCTCTTGGGAATTTAGGATTCTCAGGATTAAACTACAAAATTCCTTAAATATGTGTGCAACTCAGCTTCTATTTCTTGTCTATTTGCATGTAAGCAGGGCCAATTCCAATCCCATGTATCAGTAGGGAAGCATTAAACTAGGAATGGGAATTGTATGGCCTTCCAGATGTTGTTGTACTGCAACTCCCATTAGCCTTAGCTAGCATAATGAGGGATGCTGGGAGTTCTAGCAACATTTGAAAAGCTACAAAATTTCAGCCCCTGCTTTAAATCTCCCCTTCCCAACACTTGTTTTTCTAAATTGTCCTGATTCTTAAAAGAGGTTTCCCTTGAGACAGTTTGAGTACATGTGTGTACATAAATTTAGGAAAATGAAAATCTGGGGAAATACTTAATCCCCCTTGTCCTCAAAGGTCTGATCCTGTATTGGAGCCCTGCCTACTTTGTCACAAATTGAAAAAAAGAAGAAGGAAGGGGTAAAAAAGAGAAAAAGAAAAAGCTGCATCCTGTACACTTAATATCATGTTGTTTTGCCCTTAGGAAGAGTTGCTTATTTCAGGAAATTCCTGTACTATAAATAAACATCTCTAGTTCCATAAGATAGGCCAGTAAATTTAATTATTTGCTTAAACGGCCACAGGCCACTGCAAACCCATCCAACAGGTCAGGAAAAATATCAACAAACAGAAAATTGCAAAAAAAAAAAATACAGTAGGTGAATATGAGAATGCATGACACAAACCAATGGTGGTGAAGAAAAGTATTTAAAAAACCTTAATATTTTTCTGTAAACAAAGGGATGCATGTCAAATCAGCATTTCTTATAGCTTCACAGAATGTAGAGGAACAGACAGTATCCTGATTCCTTGCTAAGGCCCCAGTTCTCCCCAACATTACCTCCATCTCAGACAGATCTATGGCTTTCCATAAAGTCTTGCTGCATGTCCCAGTTTATAGAAAGTTGGATCTTCCTCATTATGCTCCACATTTCAAGGTGTTTTTGTCCTTGAGTGCCCTTTGTTAAAAGAACCGCTGACCCTCATTTGAAATGGCAGGCATTCAGCGCTACGATAAGGAAATACTTCAAATAATTTCAGCAGGTATTTAAAATGAGACATATTCAAAGTCTCAAGAACCAGGCAGGAACATTACCCCATCCTCCCTGTCAAAGTGGTGGAGGTCCATAGGAAAACACTCTGGAACCAAACCTGTGGGGTTCAAATGCAAGGGAAGGATGCACAAGAAGGCCCCAAGCAACCAGAATGCTCTGTAATTTTTAAGATAGGAAAGAAATCTCTTCTTGAACCTACATTAGGCTACCATTTAGACCCAATGCACAGTAGCAAAAAATTCCCATTCAATCACACCAAGAGACACTTGATAGCCCTGTAGCTCATAAGATATTCCGCAGGGATGAGCTGACCCCGTCTGAGCCTGACGCTCCTTTGAATTTCGGGCTGCTTGAAGCTTTATCTTCAAAGGCCTTAGATATAGACCAGCCATCGCCTATTCCCCACCATGGATTAGCAGCTTCCATTGAACTCCACAGAGGGAAGGGCAGACAGGCCTTGTGTCGGGCAAACGCTGCTGTGCATTGATATTTTTTAATAGGGATATGAACTGAAGCCTGTTAGGAAATGCAGTTATAATTAGAGCCCAGCTCCCAGAGGCTGTCTCAGCACCAGAGACTCATTGGCAGATAATGTCATTATTTGGCCGATGCCTGAACAGAAGGGGTTTGGGGGATGGGGAAGACGATTTCTGCTCTTCTCTTTGCCTTCCCTTCATAGGAGATGTAACACCAGAAGCTAGACAAAGAGAGAGGCTCAGCTCCTCTTAATCAGTTGTCATTGGGCTAACAATTGGTACAGAGAAGTGAATATTAGGAAGATAATAGTTTTGTGGGGAAATGGTGGCTGTGGAAATTCCTCAGCCACTTAATCCAATCCACAATGGCTAAATCATTGTGTTTCGGACAACCGAATCTCATTTCACAAAATGTGATTATGTTGGGTGGCGGCAGAAACATGCTCTCCAACATTTCACCCAAATGAAAACCAGGACATGAGAGGCCAAGCAATATCAGATTGCTGTTTAGATGGCAAAACTTATTAACGAAGAAGAACACACAAGACAGAAGAAGCTGCAACAGTTTCCTTTTGCTTCAGCCTACTTCTTTTGTACTTTGATCTCTGTTGCAGCAATTGAAGTAAGCTGAAAACAAAGAGGGAGAGTAGAGGAGGAGAGAAAAACTGGGACATTTTTGAAGCAGTTGAAAAAGTGGGATGATAGAGGATTAATAGGGACGGTCCTTATCAAATCAGGACAGTAGGAGAACATGCAGAAAGATCAATGTTCGGGTAATGTTTTCTAAGGCCCCATTCACACTTGCATTTTTGTAGTGAGGAGATTCGATCGGATCCGATGTTGCGATTCTCAACCAAAGTTCACACTATGTTTATCCTGATCGAATCTCTCTGGCACAATTTAACCCTGTTGAAGCACTAATTCAAAATGGATCCTCCATATCGATCCCATTTGATGATTTTTGGTTTTTGGTTTTGTTTTGTTCTGTGAATCAAATGATGCACACCTACGTCACACCACTTCCATCGTCATAGGACTTTATCACACAGGGAAAATCAGGAGGGGGGGAGAATCAGGGGTTTAAAGAGTCATTATCCTGAGAAAATGATGACTGTAAATGAGGGGAATAAAGAGGGAATAAAGAGGGAGCAATCCTTTCCTCTTCCTCCTTAGGTTCCCAGCCTTTATTTTTGAGTAGAGCCCAGGCTGCTGAGGGGGAAAAAAGGGTGCAATCCTTCCAAGCCAGTGTAGTACAGTGGTTTGAATGTTGAAATCTGGTTGAATCCCAGATCAGCCATATAAATCTAGTGGGTGGCCTTGGGCTAGTCACACAGCCTCAGAGGATGGTCATGGCAACCCCCCTCTGAAGAAACCCTGGGATAGGTTAGCCTGGGGGGAGTCACACTCTCTCAGCTTCAGAGGATGCCAATGGCAAGCCCCTCAGAGGATCCCTTGCCAAGAAACCCTGGGATAGATTAGCCTTGAGGGGGAGAACACTCTCTCAGCTTCAGAGGATGGCAATGGCAAGCCTCCCTCGAGAACGCTTGGTTCTTCAGACCCCTAACCCCAACTGACCTTGATGGAAGTTTTCCCCCGCGCACCTTTGTCATGCCAATGATGCCAGTATTTAAAGGTACTGTCTACTGTAGCCATGCAATAGCACAGATATGCATAATCAGTCAATTTTTTTTTAAAGGACACCATCTAATGGGATATTCCAAGAAATCCCCCCCTTGGCTATGGCTTTGGCTGGCAGGGAAAAAGCAAAGGGGTGGGCATTAATCTGCACATTAACCTCTTCCTCCTGGGTGCCCCGAATGTGATCGGGAGCAAGTTCCCATTGGCTCATCCCTTATAAAATCTGGTGCTTTTGAAAAGATGGGGGGGGGGGGGTTTAATCATTTCTGGGAAAACCAGGTTAAGGGGGATTTGCCTCCCCTCCCCTTGAACTTGGGTTGGAAAAAATGGCACAAGTGTGAACGACCCACTTTTAAAGTGGTTTGCAAACCAGTTTATAACATAGTGTGAATGACCCCCAAGGATAACTGTTGTTCAATTGATGGCATGTAATTTCAAAATCAGAAACGCTAGAATGTGTATGTACTTTGGAATCATGTATTTTGTTCTGCTGCACAACTTTTTTATAAATCCTAGGTGGATGTTAGATGACTGTATTTATGTACATTATTAAGTACAAGGGTGTGGCATGTGTAGTCCTCAAGATGTTGTTGTACTCTTTCACCAGCCCTAGCCAGAAAAACCCATAGCGAGGAACACTCAGAGTTGCAGTCCAGTAATGTCTAGAGAGCCATACATTTCCAACTCCTAATTAAGGATAATATAGTTTGCCCACTCTCAAAGCAGATTTTCATTACTGCCACTTCACATGCCCCAGGTTATATCCTAGCATTGTAGAAGCAGATTTTGGGTCTACTTCTTTGGGAGCTGTGGTTCAAATAAAGTCCTTTGTGTCTGTTCCAAATAATTAAAAATTTTTTTTTATTTGATTGGCTTCTTTAGGTTGCAAGTATGTAAATTTGTAACATCCTGCTTGACTCAAAATTCTAATTAACAGGGAAGTTTGCACACACACTTACAAAGGCTTCAAGATAGTGTAATACTGAACAGAATGTACACGTGTTCAACAACACACTGAACACCCCTGGCATTATTGTCAAATGTTCTGTCTGTCAAATTACACAGTTCACATGGATGGAATCATATTTTGTAAATGTTCTTTAACATATCATGTTAATTTTTGGACAATCACACCCACTTACTTTGTCATGAGGGCCTGAGGAAATTGAAATCAAAATTTCTTGCTTTTGTGCTGTATGAAAATTTGGTAAGCAAAGCAATTGATAAAAAGATCTGCTGGGTGGATAATATAAGGTATGAGAGTTTGTTTGGTTTTATATGTTCTATTTAAGAAGTTATAATTTTAATATGAGAGCCAGAGTGGTGTAGTGGTTTGAGCATTGGACTATGATTCTGGAGTTCAGGGTTTGAATCCTCGCTTGGCCATAGAGTCCCACTGGATTTCATGACTTCTGAAGCCCCCCCCCCATGCAAAGTCATTATTGCTTCCAGATGAGCAAAATGAGCTACCTTCAATAGCTATTCTGCAAAATCTGCTCGTACAGCTCCATTAAAAATAGAAGCGAAACAATATAGAAAATATTTACCCTATGTTTTTTCATATGTTGTAATAATTTTGTGTAGGAACCATTCTTCTGCAGTTTTCAGTTAACTCATTCATGTGAAACTGTGACATACCTAAACTAAAAATTGGAGCACGCTAAGGATGTGAATTTACAACATGGAATCTGACTGCACATTGTGCATAAGGAATGCAGGAAATCTGTTGATGAGTCCCATTCACACAGGTACCATCTATTTAATGATACATAATCAGTACCTGTTTCGTTCCTATATAGTCAAGCAATGAGTAACACTGTTGATATTTTACTGTTGTCCTAGCATCACTGAGAGCTCTTGTAGACAAACATTAAGCTCATGGGCAAAGGCCGTAGGCAGTGGGAAGTTTTAATAACTAAATCATTATAAGAAAGAAAAATAATACTTTGGGTTAGTACCTTCTACCTAAAAATGAAAGCCCATTGCAATGAATGTATATTCATTGTATATATTGAATGTATATTTGCGGCCATTTTTCAAAAGTCGGAAGATTCTGACTTTGAAAAATGGCTGCCAGAGTGAGTTAAGGGAGCCTGGCTGTACTCGGATGGTGGTTTGGGGGGGGGGGGGGGGGGGAGAAGCTGTGTGATAGGACCCGGCTCCAGTCCAATTTAGACTTGAATTGAGGAGCGGTAAAATGGGATTTTATGCTTGTGTGATAATCTCCTCAGACAAAAGTAAACTGCTACAGCCTCTGGTAGCTACTAGTCTTCTTCTAATCCTCATTAATAACTTTTGCTATCTGAACCACACTCTGATGTTGTGTGGTTGCATATGTCCTCATTTTCATCTATTATGCTCAAGATTATACAAATTCCAAGATTCTGTAATTGTACAGTGTGGATACTCCCAAAAGAGTTTTCTGGCCCTGTGTTTTAGTGGTCCACAATATCAGAAATGGGGCATATATTTTGTCTTTGTCAAGTTCATGTGGAAGCAGGGACTGTGAATATGCCCACATTTAGAATTTGCTTGGTAGCAGTGATAGATAGTTCAGATTTCTTATTTTTACAGGGTATGGCCCCAAGTTGGGATGCAGTGGCCCAAGTGGTTAAGATGCTGACTCTGTTAATTGCAAGATCGGCAGGTTGGCAGTTCGAGGCCCAGGTGCTGCATGATGGGGTGAGCTCCTGTCACTAGTCCCAGCTTCTGCCAACCTAGCAGTTTGAAAGCATGCAAATACAAGTAGATAAATAGGTACCACTTCAGTGGGAAGGTAAACAGCATTCTGTGAAGTCATGATGGCTACATGATCACAGAGTAGTCTCTGACAATGCTGGCTCTTTGGCTTAGTAACAGAGATGAGTGCCCCCTACGGTTGGACATGACTTGACAACCTTGTCAATGGGGAATACCTTTACATTTACCTTTTAGAGCTTCACCTTAACTCTATTTGGAGTACCTATCTCCTGTTTATGTGGAAGTTATGGTAAAAGAAGGATCCATCAATGTACCCATACAGTGGTCTCTTGTTATTCACTGGGATTTGGTTCCAGCATTCCAATGGGTACCAAACTCCATGTATATTCAAGTCCCATTAAATAAAATGGCATAGTAAAATGGTGTCCCTGATATAAAATGGCAAAATCAAGATTTGCCATTAGGAATTTATAGGGTTTTGTTTTGTTTTAAAATTCAAGCCGTGGATGGTTGAATCCATGGATAAAGAATCTGTGGATATGGAGGGCCAGCTGTATTTTGAGTTAGCATTAGAGGGTAATCTTTTGGCCAGACTTCCTTGTTTTTGTTTTTTGTTTTTTTGTTTTATATATATCTTCAAGTCTTTTTTTCTTCAAACTGAAGACTTTTTTTTTCCTTTTGGGAAAACTTATCTCCATTTTGGAGCACAGAAAGACATAATCAGCTACAAAGATAACAATATGTTCTCTAGATTCACCCACCCTAATTATACAGTGGATAGAGTTATGACATAAATAATCATATTAAGTGGCTACTTGGTATCCACTGGGGTATCCAGAACCCCCTGTGGATACCAAAATCCTTTGATCTCAAGTCCCATTCAATACAATGGCATAGTAAAATGGTGTCCCTTATATAAAATGCCAAAATTAAGATTTGCTCTTTGAAATTTATATATATATATTAAATATTTTCAGTCCGTGGATCCTCGAATCCATGGATAAAAATCCATGGATATTGAGGGCCAACTGTACTTAATGTCAAATATCCCAGCTGTACCATCATATACACTGTATTATTGATATTTTGGTTCGTATTCAAAGTTACTATATTATGCATAAACAAAATAAAATAAAAAGACTAATGGAGGAAAGGAGTTTCTGCACCAAAAATTATTACAGGTTCAGAATCCCTTATTTGGAATTCCAAAATTCAAAGTACTCCAAAATCCAAAACTTTCTGAGCTACAACACAAATAATATAGTTATACATACACATACAGTGGATCCTTGTTATTCGCTGGGGTTTGGTTCCAGGACCCCCCATGGATAACAAAATCCATAGATGCTCAAGTCCCATTAAATACAATGGCATAGAAAAATTGTGTCCCTTATATAAAATGGAAAATCAAAATTTGCTATTTGGAATTTATATTTTTGTGGAATATTTTCAAGCTGTGGATGCTTGAATCCGTGGATAAAAAAATC